GAGGCATAAGGAATAGATTCTAGGCAAAAGGGGCTGAGGGAACTATACTGACTGGATTGGTTCTCAGCGTGAGGAGCCAGCCCTCTTTAGTGCTGAGTCGAGTGGAGAAGCTTGGTGATACTGGAAATGTTTTTCACTGGGGCAACTTTATGTAAGCCTGCTGATTCCTTTAAATACAGTGGGAAGAGAAGGGAAGGGGAAAAGCATTTATTAATTGCCGACCGTATGCCTGGCACCGTTAGGTGTTCTACAGATATTACAGATACCTCAATTGATCTCCCAACCCTGGGAGATGTGCTATTATTATCCTCCTCACTTTATGATTGAGAAACTGAGGCAGACAGAGGTTAAGGGACTTGCCCAAAGTCACACAGCTGGACACGTGTGAGGTGGGGTTTGGACTTAGATTTTTCTGAGTCCAGGTCCAGTGCTCTATCCTCTTTATCCACTGCCCCGCCTAGCCACGTGTGGAGTCCAGAAAGAATGACTCTACAAAGGTCAAAGAAACAGCACTACAGCAGAAGGTTGTACCAGACCAGTGATGGGGGTAATGGATTGGCCTTTTGAAGTAAGTAGGAGTCTTGACTATTGAAGAGACTAGTCCAGTTTGGGAAAAAAAGGTAAAGGAAGTTTCCTGTTACACCCTTTGTCATTAACAATAGCTGAAGACTCTGTCAGCCAAGTATTCTCTGATAATTGATGTCTGCTTCTCTTTGGGTCTGCAGATTGCTCCGCCTCCCTCTCTAGCAGAACCGCTAAAGGAATTATTTAAGCAGCAGGAAACTGTAAGGGGAAAACTCCGTCTCCAGCACAGCATAGAGCGGGTAAGAAAGCTTCCAGAATGTATCAGAATGGGAGAACTTGTTGCTGGGATCTCAGTCCTCTCCTTCAAGACTTGTGTCCCATTTTAAATTACTTCTCTCTTGTTCCCAGGAAAAGCTGATTGTTTCATGTGAACAGGAAATTTTGCGGGTTCACTGTCGAGCTGCACGGACAATAGCTAACCAGGCTGTCCCTTTCAGTGCCTGTACCATGCTGCTGGACTCCGAAGTCTACAACATGCCCCTGGAAAGTCAGGTCAGTGTTTTTCCCCAGGAGTGGGTAGCCCTCTCCAGCCACAAGAACACGTTTGTCCATCTTAGTGATAACATCTCGTTTTGCAGGGGAGAAGGCCGTTTGGCTAAAGCCACCTAAAATGGAGGCCAGTCAACTCATTGTTCCTGATTGAGGTCCTGACCAATCATTTAATTCAGAGCAATATTTACCTCCTAAGTACAGAACAATCCCACATCACTTTTGGTCATGCCGTACCCAAATTTTTAATTCCAAATTATGTAAACAAATTAAAAACTAGCCACCGCTCTTCTCTCTCCTCCACCTTTTATCCCAGGTCACAACAGTGATGCATCGATGTCTGTTTTAAGATATGTAGTATGCATCTACCCTTATCCTGTCTCCTAAAATAGAACCTCTAACAATCAAGAAAAAGTTGGAAACGTTGTGCTTTCCTGCACTTAGTAGATGTGAATTACTGGTTATTGACTTGAAAAGCATCGGCAGCATTGGGACTTTTCCAAAGCTCATCTTGGCTCTTGGCGAAAGCCAGGCCAGCTTTTGGGAGATGGTGCTGAGGTAGCATCTCCTGACTGTAGTATGCAGAGCAAGGCCTCTAGCCCAGCCCCTCAGGGCCTGGCCTGCTGGGATTACAGCTGGTGATCCGTCTTCATCAGCCTCTTCCTCTGCTTCTCTTTATGTGGCCTTCATTGCAAGTGCTTACCATGAGCTCAGCAATACCTTTTCACCAGGAAAGATGATGTATGACTGCCTGTGGCTCAGAATCTTTGGCCTTCTCTAAGGAAAGATTTGAGAAGGTCTGAGATAAAAATGGAGAATTGTCTGTCTGACTTGATGCGTCAGTGCGAGGCAGTGTGGAGGCTCTGGTGTCCATTTTCTCATTCTGTTTTTATTCTTTTCCCCAGAAGATGGGATAGGACGTTTCTGTCTGTTGTACTTGTTCTGCCTTATTAAAGTTCTCTTTCCTTGATTGGTTCCACAGGGGGACGAAAATAAGTCAGTGAGAGATCGTTTCAATGCTCGACAATTCATTTCCTGGTTACAGGATGTAGATGACAAATATGACCGGATGAAGGTTAGAACCTTTTCCTTCTCTATAGTCTTGGGGTATTTTTAGGGCCCAAAGAAGCCACTTGTGGAGTCTGTCACTGTCCCATCAAGCATTTTTAAAGGAGACTTTACTTTTGTCTCTGAAAGCTAGAATGAGACATGGGGCTTTTCCTTTCCTTGAGATAAAATCCACAGTGTGAGCTCATCCTGAGGCTCCCACACAGGAGGGCCTCTGGAGAGGTCCTCACTGTCTAGACGCTGTTGCTCTGAGGCAATCACAGGGCCCGTTCAATCACTGACCAGCACTGCCTGGTCCTCCTTCCACACAAGAGTCAGGAACATTGTCTCGTTTGGGGGGGGTAGAAGGCCTTTTAGATTTAGAAGATTTAATCTTTGGTTTGAAGTCAGTGAAAAGCAGAGCTTTGGTCAAGGGCGGGCTGGATAGCTTTAACTGATGGTCAGTCCTTTTTATGGGCCAAACCATATTTCATCTGACAGACTAATGTGTTATGGTTAGCCTCCTCGCTGTGAGATTGAGCACAATGGTCCTAATGTCAGGCGGGAATCCCTTAAGGGGAGAGCCACGTAAAGGAATCCTGTGCCTGGGTGCCTCCACGTATGTATTGGTGATAATATTAATAACTTGTGGAAGTTAGAAACGCTGAGTGCAAGGCCGGTTATGTCTGAAGAGCTCCCGGGCAGTTGCCAGGCATGATCATCACCATGCTGGTCGGTCAGCTATAGCCTCTGGCCCGGCCGCCGAGGGGAGGGGAGGGTCCCTCGTGTGCTTTGCTGCTCGCCCTGCTCACTGCCCATTTTGTCTCCCGCACAGACGTGTCTGTTGATGCGGCAACAGCACGAAGCAGCGGCTCTCAACGCGGTGCAGAGGATGGAGTGGCAGCTGAAGGTCCAGGAGCTGGACCCCGCAGGGCACAAATCTCTCTGTGTGAATGAGGTGCCGTCCTTCTATGTGCCGATGGTCGATGTCAATGATGACTTTGTGCTCTTGCCAGCGTGACAAGACCAGATCCCAAGACAGTCTCACAGGAAACTGGCAAAGGCAGGAGCCCTCCTGGACGAATGGCCGAGCTCCTGTCCATCCCCAATGCTTGTTGACGAGTCCTTGGGTGGAAGGAAGAAGCATCTCTCGGGGGGGTGGGGGAGAGGGAGCGAGAGAACAGTTGCACTTTCTTCACAATGTATCCGTCACTTCTGGACTGATGGCAGGCACCCAGCCGCAGAAGTGGGAAATGCATCTCTTGTATGAACCAGGTGCTTCAGCGGAGGGTGAAAAGCTTGCACACTACGCGAGTCTGACTAGACAGCGACGCAGTGGAGGGCCTGGATGGGCTCGAGGCTGCCCTGCCACCATCTGTGTAGCCAGAGCTGCTGAGCAGGGGCCAGGAGTCAGGGTGGTTTCCATCTTTGTGGAAATGGCAATTTTCAGATCTGTGTTTTCCATTCAGCTGCAGATTCATTTCAGAGAAGTTGCAGAAGAGAATTCATTTTTTAAGTTTCTTGTTCCATCCAGATCTAATAGAAAAAAATAAAGTAAAAGGCACCCAACCACCTTTCATGGACAAAAGTGTAATGGGGTGGAGCCAATGGACTTCCAAGTCTAAGGATGCTTTCCAGCTAAAATCCCAGGGCAGCCACTGGTCCCCGTTTTTTCAGACAGCAGGGCTGTGGACGCTTGTGTGGAGCGAGGGCCCAGGCGGTGCCATCTGACCCCTCCAGAAGTTGGGGGGCAAGTGGTGACCCAGAGCTAGGACTCTGCCAATTGTGTTTTTAATGGAGTCAAATCCATGTGGTTTATATATTTTTTCCTTTAATCTTGGGCATTTTGTTTCTCTTTCTGAGAACATAACTTGAAAACACTACAGAGCCAATACTCATATAAAAATGTATCCCATAAATGCTGTACAGTTTTTATATACATTAACAATGTACTTTTGCTGCCTTCTAGATAATTTATTTTGCAACACATTACTGCACAGTTGTAAATAACTTATGTACTGTAACATCACTTTCAGTTATGTGTAAAGAAATAAATAAATTAATTAAAATTATCTTTGTATATGTATAGTTCACATTAGGCAGCACTTTCCCTTTCAAGGAAACAGAAGGGCCAAAATGGCGTGCAACATTCAGTATTCTGAAGCCTGTCTTCTAACCAAAAGAAAGACAAGATAACTCCACTCATAATTTGCATTCTTCACTTTCTCAAAATATTAACACCCCACCCCCTTTTTTTTTCTCCTTTCTTCCCTGTCCTTTAAGTTAGGACACGTAGCAAAAACTCCCTGCCCACATGATCCACCTGGTAATGTGTTTCACTAGGCTTGTTCCGGGGTCCTTCTCCTTCCTCTCTTTAGGAGGCTGGGGGTGGTAGGGAGGCAGTGAAAGAGATCTGGTCCAGCCTAGAGAGGCCCAGAAGAGAAGTCTGTCATCACTATTGCTTTAAGATGAGCTTCCTGCCCTAGGTCAAGGGGGATTCATTCAAACTCTTCTGAATGAGGGAGGAGCTAAGCTTCCTTAGAACCTTAGGAAGCAGTCTTATTTTTCTGGTGGAAAAGGTATTGTTCCATTCGAAACCATGGAAAGTAATTTATCACAGGAGGAAATCTTAGCAGTTTATAGAAGAAGTGACCTCGAGTCCATGATGGGGGAAAATTTTGAGCCCTCCGACGGCCTAGAACAATCCATTCCCAACTTTGGGCCACTTTGGGGACATTTCCCATTCTTTCTATAGTTCCTCCCATGTTGCACAGAGACAAGGCCTTATTTGGAAGAAGCTTGTCTATTTAGCTCATTGGGCTCGATTCAAAAGCAGTGTGCAGGAAGAAGTGGCCTTGTTGACATTTTTACCTGTTTGTCATGTTTCTCCTCTACAGTCACTCAGGTGTTAAGGGCAGTGTGGAGAAGGGGAAAGGGGGCATGGCAGAAAGGGCTTGTCATCCACACTGACGAGAACAGTAGTGTCCGAGAGGCTGAGACGCTCCCTGCTACATGTTCGATGTCACTTTAGTTGAGCTCCTTGATTTTACCTAGAAGTTAGACACAAGGCATGAAGGTTTCTGTTCCAGAAGTTGGCTTGGGGTGAAGGGGAAGGGTAGAGAGATCCATGTGGACAAAGAAAGTGTCTTCTTGCCTTCCCAACCAGAGCTTACTTGGAGTGGAACCTGCTTGGTTCCTGTGGTGGTGTGAGGACTTCTGGGGACAGCTAAGCGGTGGACTTCAGATGAGGGAAGCGAGGGAAGGAAAGGGGTCAGAAGTGAAAGAAAGCTTTCCTCTGGGGCTCCTGTTTTGTTGGAAGACAGAGCATGTGCCTTGAGTTTCTTTCTGAGACAGTAAGCCCTACTACAGAGAAAATGGGAAGGGCCCCCAAGAAAGCAGTGGAATGGAACCTGACTGAATAGCTAGCCAGGCCCCGCTATTCTGCAGAGATGGGTAGGTTATGGTTAGGCTTGAAAGGATCACATTGCTCTAATGAAGGTGCCCATCCTCAGGATAGCAGTGGGGTGAGGTGAAATTCCAAGCAAAGATGAATAGTGGAAACAGATTTTAAGTACTTCTCCCAAGTGGTCTATTGTTTTTGTTTGTTTTAATGAATCCAGGCACCCTATCCCCAATGTGCCCTCCCTATTTATTATTTATAAATCAGCTTCAATTTAGGAAATTACTAAGATGAAATGTTGCTCAACTCTCTCCCTCCCTCCACCTCCTGCCCCCAGAACAAGCTAGTTGCATGACAGTTGAGACATTGGGCCTCCAGAAATGTGCCCAGAAATGTGTGCAGAGACATTTGGTGCTGTACAAATGGTGACTTGAAATTATTGTTATGCTGTATGCTCTTGACATGTTGAAAAGAAGTCCAACTTTATCAGCATTTTAAAGTGTTTTCAATTGTTTTGTCTGGTGTCTTCTGTTCCTGTGCTGATGTCCCTGAATGCTAAAGAGGAGGAAATCAGAGAAACTAATGGACTCCTTTCACTGCCTAGTCACCTCTCCCTCCCACCCACACCCCGGGGATCAATCATCAGATTCCTGGGGTTCTAGGAATTACACACGTGTTTGGGAAAGCAGAGAGAGCAAAGAGATGGAGGAGGGTCTTGGTCCAGCAGTGAAAAGAGGCAGCCTAGATTGAGACCAGCTCTTCCCAAAGAATGAGTCAGAACCTGTTCATTCTTTCGGAAGAGTTGACATCAACCGAAAGGCACGGTAGGAAGAGCAATGTGGAATTAGGGGTAGGTTATTTGGTGGGAGAGAATTTTAAAAAAGAGCTTCAGAATAATTTTTATAGTCTGGGTGGGGGAGGGGGAGACGGGAAGAAGAATCTGACGAGTGAAAAGACGTTTGTTCATTTACCTTGGTTAGCCTACCGCATGAGCTCTTTCAACCAAGTGTCCGCCTGCTTTCTTCCCCCACGTCCAAGCCCTCCTTAGAGATAATAGAATTCCTGGCTTTGTACGGGACAGCTTCTAGATCTCCAGGCTCTGAGGAGGTGGGGGGGAGGGCAAAGAACACCGCCAGCCTCCCGTACACGGGGCACAGCCAGGGCGGCGGGCGATCACACCTACCTGCTTTTGTGTACGGCGAGCAGTTTGCTATGAATCTGCTCGGACTTTCCTTTTTCTTCTGAACATCTAGTTATAATGCCAGGAGTGTTTTGTTTGTGGGTGCTTCGCGCAGCCCCCTTCCCAGTATGCCCCCAGCCTTGTTCAAGTGGACAGTGCACGGTGAGGATGCGATTCTGTGTGCGCTGTAACGACACTTTGCTCGTAGTGGAATGTAATGATGCCCCCTCACTTCAGTATTTTTGAGCTTCATGGGTGTATTACAACTCTTTTCCTTCCCATCTTGACTCTTTAGGTCCTTATCCGGCCACCATTACCCACCCCCTCTCCCCTCACCCCCTTTTTTTTCTTTTAATCTAAATTAACCAATTCAGAGGCTGGTTTTCCTCGATGTCAAAGGGCCAGCACAGATTTATTTCCAGGGGTGGAGGAAGAAGTGGGGAAAATAAATGTCTAACATGTATTCACGAGTGACCTAGGTTACGTTTTTCTCCCCCTCTTTCCCTCCCCCCCTCCTGCTTTAAGGGACATACCAAATTATGGTCAGATATCATTTTCAAGCCCTGCTTCCCCCCCCCTTTTTGGTTAAATAATCGTAAATTAATCTGTGTAAGCATGGAGAGTCCTTTTAATCAACAATTTCAAACAACAATAGCAAAAGTAATGTATTACCTTTGACCCATGTGCTTTGTGGATTCCCCCCCACCCCCTGGACAGTGTAAATTTCCCTCCTTGTAATGCTTCTGAGACAGTGTACATAGATGTAAATAGCTCACAGGTCAATTCACACCCTTCTCTTTGTACTAGGTCCATTTGCGTAGAAGGTGGGGTTCAAACAGCAGCGACAGTGCATTGTCTGTAATGTAACAATGTAATTTTTTTTTACAATGTAGTTTGTGTACATATTGTTTGGCAGTGCTGGTGCTGCCGCAGCCGCAGCTCTGCCGCTACAGGACTGTCATTAGCTGTTCAACTTCCTGCAGAAAGAGACAAAGTGAATACAAATGTTATTTTCTACAGTTGCATGTACAGAGATGAGCGCCAGAGACATGCTGTTGTCCCTCAGAGATAATGTTCGTAAATAAATTTTAAAAAAACAACCACCACCACCTTGTCTGTCCTTTTTGAAGTGTCCCAGGGTTACTGGGGTGGGATGGTGGAGGGTAAGGCAGGGTGAGCATTTATATCAGTCATCAGACAGGAGAAACATAATTTGGATTGCTAGACCCTATATCTGACTCAGCATGGAGTTCAAACGTCAGCCTAGGGTCAAACGCATCTCTGCCACTCATTACTCATGTGTGACATGGGGCAACTAACACCCTCATAAAATGAGGGTTGGGAGTGGAGGATCTCCCAGGGGTCTTCAAGCCTGACCGCTAGGGCTCTCCCTGAACTCCTGGCTCTTCGTCTCCTCTAAAACACTTGTTCCCACATGGCTTTTTCCACAAAATAGGATATAAAGGGACAAGACAGATAGGCATTACCTGGTGTCACTGCTTCTGACCCCCTATACTGAACCCAGCACATCCAGACCTCATTCCTACCCTTACCTGTTACAAAATCCAACAACTGATGTCACTTTTGGGCACAGCTTCCTTCGTTCTGATTACCTCCTTTTGCTAGCTACATGGCACTCATTAACTGCCTTGAAACCCTCCTCCACCAGTCCCTAGGTGCTCTCTCTTTTCGCATTAGAAGGGAGGGCTTTCTTTTGTGAAAAATGATTTCTCTTGGTAATATGCGTCTGGGAGACTCATAGCCCGGCCCCCCCCCCCCAGCCTTCTGTCCAAAGTTCTTCAGAAGGACATTACTGATAATGAGATTGCATTGAATCCTTATCCTGGTCAAACTCCAACCCAGGTGTGAATTGATTTTATTTTACTCAGGTTTGGGTAGAGACAGATTCCCAAGACTGGGGGTGGTATTTCCTTTGTCTGGATGTTGGGTGATATCAGCCCCTGTTGACCAAGACAGCGACCTAAGTCATGTACTCAAGACTTCATTTTAATGTAGCCCACTAGCTGGTATGTAGACCAATCAGAGTTGATTGGCACCCCTTGGGAACACCTGCTCTTCAAAGGGCATATAACCCTGTACCCCCAAATCCCAAATTGAGCCAGTTCTGAACTGACCCCCTTAGGGGGCACCTAGCTTTGGACTGAGCTCCCATGAAAGTCAAGCCAGCTTGAGAGAAATTAAACTGTGGACACATGCACCCTAATTTTATTTGTCTCTTTCTTAGAACAGACTGTAATTTATTGGGGTTTGACAGTTTTTACTTTTGAATCTATTGCCAAATATCTCCCCCCTCCCCTACTAAGGGAGCCTTCCCTTGTACTAAAGATTAAAAGCAAAATATAATGCAAAACCAAGTTTGGCACCATATATAAACATCCCATACCTATTGTCCCCAACCTCTTTTAAAAAGGAGCATTTTCTCTCCATTGGAGCCAAGTTGGGTAGGTCAGTAAACAATATTCAGTTTTTGCTTTATTTTCATTTCCATAAGTAGTCTCTGTGTATGTTATTTTCCTGGTTCTGCTTAATTGGCCCTGTATCATTTCATGTAAGTCTTCCCATGTTTTCTTGAAGTCTTCATTATATGTCAGCAGTACTATTCCATTATATTCATGTCCCAGCACAGTACCTAGCATACTGTTGTTGTTTAGTCCTATCTGTGACCTCCGTGACTCTGTGGACTGTAGCACACCAATATCATCCATGGGGTTTTCTTGGCGTGTACTAGAGTGTTTTGCCATTTCCTTCTCCAGTGGATTGAGGCAAACACAGATGAAGTGACTTGCCCAGAGTCACACAGTTAGTATCTGAGGTAGGATTTGAAATCAGGTCTTCCTGACTCCAAGCTCAATGCTTTATCCTCTAAGCCACTTAGCTGCCTGCCCATAGTAGGTACTTAATAAATGCTTGTTGACTACTAGCGCTAAGTTTTTTAATAGCCTGGGGGAGTGATGCCCAGTGATGCCTCTGTTGACTTGCCTCTCCTGTCTTTATCCTAAAGAGTTTTTGGAGCAATAGTCTAGATAGCTGTGTGGAAATAGACAAGTTTCTTATTTAGATGGCATAACTTCACACTGAATTGTATCTTCATGCTTTCTTAAAAAAAAAAAAGCCCATCTCTTAATGGATGAAAATAAAGGATGGAAATGAAGTTTCAGGGAATCGGATAAAGACAGATGTCATTAGCAATGGGAAGGAGTATTTGGGACCAGAATAACGAGTACAGGAAATTTTGGTTCTCATTTTAATGTTTTCATTTAGTTAGTTAGTTAAGCAATAGGGTTAAGTGACTTGCCCAGGGTCACACAGCTAGTAAGTGTTATGTATCTGAGGCTGCATTTGAACTCAGGTCCTCCTGAATCCAGGGCCGGTGCTCTATCTACTGTGCCACCTAGCTGCCCTATTTTATTTATTTATTTACCAAGAACAAAAATACTTAACTGAGAAATTAAGACTCTAGTGAGGGGTTAAGATCAAGGTGTCCTGAAATGAGTTCCAAGTTACCCAGATCAGCTAATGGGTTTAATTAGAGGGTGCTCCTGAGCCACTGTTGGTGATATATGGGAGGGAAATGTGGAGAATAAGGGAGGGCCCTTGGTTTTTGGTTTTTTATTCTCTTTGTATCCACAGTGCTTGGCACATAGCTTAATGAAATGCTCACCGACTGACAGAAAGGTTCTCAGCAAGAAAAGTTGTCTTGGGTGATGACTTCCTGATGAAGGGTAACTAGGTGACCATACATCAACCAGATACAATGACAGTGAGGGGGAATATGCTGGCTTTCCAGGACATGTATCCTAGATGCAACAGGGCCTGTCACAGCCAGCAACCAATATGGACTCCTCATGATTTCTGTGGGAGTGAAGTATACTTTTGGAAGTAACCTAGAAAGTATTGCTGGGATTGTGAAGTCATGGTCAAAAAGCTAACCGTAGGGAAATAGGTGATAATTGCATCGCTACTGCTGATGGTAGGTAGAGATTTCAGAAGGAAAAAGATGAATTTATGAAATGGACAGCTGGTTAAGAAGGTGGTGCCTGAAAATGGAGGTTCGGACTTCTTAACCACACCTTAAAGTCAGTTGGTCAAAAAGTATGCATTAAGCAGTGCTAGGTACGGAGACAAAAGTGAATCAATCCCTCAAAAAGATTACATTCTAACGTCTTAGATAACGTGGTATATTTGTGTGTGTGTGTGTGTGTGTGTGTGTGTGTGTACACACATATATACATATATGTGTGTGTATAGATGTACATATATAGTATTATGCAGATGCAAGGTAACCTTGGAGAGGAAGGCCCTAGCAGCTGGAGGACCAGAAAAAGCCTCCTACAGAAAATGATTCCCCACCCAAGTCTTAAAGAAAACCAGGGATTCCAAGAGGCATAGAGTGAGTATTCTAAACGTAGGGCAGAAGGAGATAGGAGACAGATCTGTCACATGTAAGAAGGCCAGTATGGAAGGGCCTTAGAGTATATGGAGGGGAACAATGTTTAAGAAGAGTGAAAATGTAGGAAGGGGCCAAATTTTTGGAGAGTTTTAAGTGTCAGAGCAGTTTATATTGATCGATTGCCTAGAGCCACCAGAGTTTACTGAATGGGCTGACCTATGCTTTAGAAAAATCACTTTGTTGGCTATGTGGAGGGCTCTTAGCCAGAGATGGAGTACATCTAATGTGGGCTGGTAAAAATAGATTCACCTGAAGACTTGTGGATCTGATCATGAGGGCATTAAGCAAAAGAAAGAAGGGAGGGAAAAAACTAGGTCCATGACTTTGCCAAGTCAGATACTACCAGAGAGTAGCAAGCATGGCATGTGAGAGCTCCAGTAATTCACTGGAGATGATATTCAAGAAGAGTAGCCACAAAACTGTGCCCTATGCCCTAAGCAAGGGCACAGATTATGGGTTATAAATAAGTGGACTAGTTATCTTTTTAAAAAAATTTCATTTCAATTTTTAATCACAGTTTAGCAAATGCCAGTTAAAATGAGCATTTCTGTGTACATTATGGAACAGAAGAGGATTGTCTATGGATTTGTGAATCTCTTTTATGTACAGTTTGTTTTTCTTTTAAAGTATATAATATATTCAACATGTAACTTTCAGTGCTATCCTACTTATGTGTGATTCCTTTTGTCCCCTTCTCATTAAGGGGGTAGTGATGGGAGACTTGAACTATCTGAAACACTTCACTACTTTCTCCACTAAAGGTAGAACTTAACTAGCTGTGTGACCCTGGGCAAGTCCTTAACCCCAATTGCCTCGACAAAAAAAAAAAAAACAAAGAAATTTAAAGGTAGAGGAAACAACAAAGTGGACTGCTCTTCTAGTCTTGATTCCAACCAAAATCAAGAAACTAGTTCCCTAAGGAGATAGGATAGGAGCATCAAGGAAGACATGATTGTGCCATTTTAAAATTCGTGAAAGAAAAAAGAGGCATACTGTCTCACCATTGAGCTTCATTCTTTTGGGTCAGAAGAATCACAGTGCTAGAAAGGACCCCAGAGATCTTGTCCAACATTCTTGAGGGTTTTCAAGAGCCTTTAAGAGCCCTTGAAGAAGCTAGAAATACTCCTAAAAAGGGGAATTTTTAAAAATTGAATTAATTTCTTCTATGAATTAAACCTTGCTTCCACCACCCCCCCACCCCCTCAGCAAGCCATCCTTTGTAACAAAAAACTGAAAAAGATAAAAGGGGAAAAACTCTAGGTAGATGAAAGAGAAAAGAAGAAGAAAGGAAAGAGGTATGAATTCTAAGAGTGCAGATGTGTTCTCCATCTTAAGACGGGTGTCAGAGAGACAGAAACACAAAAAGAAACACATGTATAGAGAGAGACAGAGACAGAGAGACTGAGAGAAAGAAGCAGAGACATGAATATACAGAGACATGAATATATAGAGACATACACATGTGCAGAGGCATCAGCACAATTAACTTGTTTCCTTCTCAGCATCTGAATCCAGAATGCCAATGGCTGCAGAGCTGTTATCTCTGGAAATATTGCCATGGGAGTGTGGGCTTAAACCAGCGTGGATACAATAGTCTCTCTCAGACAGTCTTCCTTTCCCATGTCTCTG